GGGAAAAAATGTCTTATGATTGGTTCATCTTACAGACATGGATCTCATTCTCCTTTGGAGTGCTCAAGGTGAGTCACTTGGACTGGGGTGCATCTGTGGCCCTAAAACAGTCACTAGCCCTTGCTCTGGAATCAGCCCTTCCACACACCTATTTGAGAAACAGTCTGGTAAATTCTTGGCACCTTGGCTATAAACAGAGATAAACAAGGTCATCAGCACATTTTCATGATGTCTTGGATTGTCTTTTGCTCCCTCTCATTTGAGAAGCCCTAAGAGAACCTGACAAAGAAAACATGTTTGAGATCACAGAGCCATTGCTGTCAGGATACCGAGAGCCTAAAAACCCACCCTAAGAATTCATGGAGGTACTTCTAGTGTTGTCACTGATATCAATTCCTATACATTAAGATTCCTTGCTACAGAACCTTACCTTTCTGCAGACAGGCTTGGTGTGGGTTTCTAAATGATAGGATCAAAGAATTTCTTGCTAGAAGGAATTTTTTCAAAAGGGTTTAACATTCTGAAATAAAGTAAATGCTCACTAATTGAGAAGAAAGACTCATATGCTATTTAGTCCCATTTTCCAATTTGTTAGGAATGACCACTCTATCATTTAAATACCTCTAGTGGTGGAGAACTCACCACCCTACGTTATTGGATACTATAAGTACAATATTAAAATTGCAAAGGCATAACTTGTGATGATCAATTCTCCATCTCTTATGAAAGAGCTATGAACCTGGTTTTATAAATATGAATTAACTTTTAATTTCAAGTCATTCAGAAAGATATAACAATATTTACTGAGGAAAATCTTGGAAGTTAGTGAAACTACTGGTGCTGATACTACATCATATATAATATAGTATAGTCTGCATTGTTTTTTCACTTGTTTACTTCATTTTATATATCTAAGTTCAATTTCAACTTGACTCAATGTGTATTTATTACTCTTGGCACAATATTTTACAATATACACTCTTGTTACAGGGTGACATTATATCCCAATTGCCTGAAACCCTTCAGGTTTGTACCTCATTATCTAATGTAATTTTTAACAGCACCCTTTCACTCTCAAAAGTATACTACTTTGGATGACAAATTTTATGGCACAGTACTGTATTTTAAAGTTTTTAAAAGTTGTATTTCATTTTTTTAAGTTGTACTAAAAACCTTCGCAAATTCACACATCTTCCCAACCCCCAGCTTCTCTGCATTTTCCTCAATTAATAAGTTTTTATTTTATTTGAAAATGATAAATCTTCTTGACTACAGAGTATATTTAATAAAATGAGTAGCTGTTCTGTGCTTTATTTATTTATTTTTTTTTTGTTCTGTGCTTTAAAAAAAAAAACCACCACAGAATGGCTGGAGCCTCTGTGCTCTCTGCATGGATGGAGTGGCTCGCTGCCAATGGGATGTCACTTTCATTAAGTTATTGAGAGCTGGAGAGAACCTTTCTAAGTCAGGCACAGCATGCTGGCAAATGTAATGTGGATGTGTCCTCATGCCCGAGAAAGCATTCCCTCCACTTGACCAGATTTCTTTCATCTTTGGGTGCCTCAGTTTCTCTGTCTCTAACAGAGCACAATAATGCCCACTTCACAGGGCTGTTGTAGGATTAAAGGGATGATAGCCATAGGGCACTGTCAGCCACCGGGAACAAAGGCATGAAGTAATTGCAAAATGTTCGGTTCTGCTTCTCCAGCTTGTGGAAAAAGGGCTCCCACTGACTTGAAAGACAGCATCATACACAGACGAGGAGAAGCCCACTGGGAGAGCAGAGCCTATTACCTTCATTATCATTGTCCTAAAGTACAGAGGAGAGAAAGAGCAACAAAGAAGCTTAAGAACTGTGGCCACACAAAAACAAGACGAGGACTAACAAATCGGCTACGAAAGAAAATCTGAAAAAATAAACATCTTAGCTTAAAAATAATCTGTGAAGATTACATGCCAGAAATTAAGGAACACCTATATATTCTTTGGTCACGTGACACAATGACGCATTTGTGTATTTTTTACAATGGAGCGTACCCTGTCCTTTATACTTCCTTACATTATCCACTCTAAATGCCTAATGGCAGTTCAACAACCACTTTCAGAGTGGATTTAATTTAAAAGTTCCTCTGTAGATAGCATTCTGTAAAGCATCTTCAAATGATTAACCAATAGATAATAAAATTGCAACTGGTGATACTATTTTGTCATAAAATATTAACACCTCCAAGGCTGAAGAGTAAGTTGGGACAACTAGAAAGTGCCACTGGTGTTTGGTGAGCTCACAGTCAAGTAGATGTAAGACATTCCCTTGTATATTAACACATGCTACTAAAATCAAATGGGTAAAAGTGATAAGTAGTAGGAGATGTCATTCCAAGCAGTATTTTCCCAGCAAAAGCTATATGTCAAGAGTCCTTCAGCACACTCTGGGAATGCACAGAAATTCACAAATCAATTTGCTAAATTGGCTTGGCTGGAAATCGTGCATTTGTGCATGGATCCAGCTGAAAGCCATTTCTGAATCTACCAGACTTGCCCACGGCTTCTTCAACCAGTGCTAAGAGTCAGGGGACATCATAAGAAGAGCGTGGGCTTCAGGGTTAGTTACACTTGGACTCTAATTCTCCCTCCGCTATATCACTGGCTGAGTGACTTCGGGTAAGTCACATGAGCTCTCTGAGAAGAGGATTACATACTCATACCAGGCTTGCAAGGTGCCAGGAGGATTAAATGTCCAACATATGTCAAAGAGCCAAGTGCTACATACTTGGTTTAACCTTTTCAGTAGAGCTATAAACAACCCAGAATGAGAGAAGCCCACCCCAAAAGCCATCTGCTCCTTCTCTTCACTGCAGGCCAGGTGGACAAGTGATATAAAATGAGAACAGTTTTTAAAACATTAATATAAAATGCCTGCACCTACTTAACCCAAATAGGGCCTTAATTTAAGCATCTGGAAGAGTCAAACTGAAGTTCTAATAATGTAAACATTCTTAGATGTCAAAAGATATTCTAGTTTACAATCTGTATATTTCTGCACTTGCAGAAATGATACACGATTCACCTCTTGAAACCACACACCTTGGCCACTCACAGCGGGTTTCCTGAGGACTGCCTACCGCCAGATGAGCCTTGGGTCTTGAATATGTAAGATGGAGAAGCAAAGGCAAGTGTCTCAGAGCAGTCAATTCTCATCCTATCGGTGAAAAATGCTAAAGCTTGGAAAGGGAAAGGTGCTTGCCCAAAGCCAAGCAATGAAGGCCACGGGTTAGGATTTTTAGGAAAGCCACTACAAACCAAAACTGTGACAAATTATAATAATAATCTCATCACAGAGCTTTATTCACTGATATTTCCAATTCTGTGGCCAAACAACATCCATACCTGCCTGGTGCTGGGTCTGTCCCTTGGGAAGGAAGCTCTCCTCTAATAGCAAAACAGAGGAAACCCTGCTAAGATAGGTTAGCCTTATTTTATATTGCCCAATATGACATGGAATTGAGTGTCTAACATGTCTGGGGGGTGAAAAATCTGAAATACAAAAAAAAAATTATCAAAATAACCCATTGCACACTGATGTGACATTTGCTGTCCCCTGGTAACTGTCCCCTGATAGTTTCAAACCTGTAACTCCAGAAAAATGGCATTGTGTGAGCATAAGTACACAGAAGAAAAGTAACAAAGCAAATATTTAGCACACATTTTTAGAGTGTCCATTATGCTTTTTTCTATAAAAATCAAATTCTCTGTTTAAATTTCTGAGCATAATAACTTCTAACCACTGATAAGTACATTTTAAAGGGTGCTAGCCCATATGGAGCAAGATTTACAAATACCCAGGCAGAATTAGTTCCCTATTTCATAACTCTCCAACCGTTAATCATTATTGATTACTAATTCTGGTTCCATCTCTGTGAATAAGTTAATACTTTATGCTGAATAGGCTAATTTAGAGGTGGGTGATCCTGAAGCTAATTTGCAGCTCAAGGAGAACTCCATGCTTTAAAGCAGCTTTACATCAAAAGCCTTACAGAAGAGGATCATCAAGACCAGGGTAGAATGGGAGCTAGAAGAAGGCATAAAATCAGGGACTTCAGGTTTTTAGGATGGGAAAGATCATAAAACCTGTCTAAAGGCTGAGGGGAAGGATCCAGAAGCTACAAGAAAATGAAAATTCAGGGGACAGAGGTAGTGACGCCAGAGAGGGTGATAAGGGATGGACCCCAGGGCATTGCTGGAGGGAAGAGTGAGGGGGGAAGGCAAAAACAAGAGGAAAGAGGACATCAGCAAGAAAAGGGAAGGAGGGAGAAAAGGAGGAAGGTAGGCAAAGAAAGTGCCAAGTGTAGGGACATTTTAAAGGAAGTTCAGGTGACATTAAATATGGAGGTAAGGAACAATGAATTAAAAAGGACCTCATCACCAAAAGGCTTGGAAGCTAACAGGGAAGTTCTGCTCAACCACATAATTGTATATGGTAAATATATACTCAGAGATTAGATTTTATTCTGTTTAAAACATTTTAATTAACTTCTTTTCTAAGGAATATGCTGAATTCATAATGTAGGAGAAAGAGATTATTCAATTAGATTGATTTTTGTGGAATAACAACTCAAAACTACTTGAATCCCAGCCTTTGACAAAGTTACGTATCAATGTGGCGGGTGGGGGGAGCCTTCAAGGAAAGAAAAACTCAAACTGTAAATTATCAGGTTAATTCACAGTGTGGACATAAGAAACAGCAAAGACACTGTTTGATATTTGATTTGCAAAGTGAGAAAAGAAAGCATATTAAATTCTATAGAATAATCTTTTCTGATCCCAGAAATACTAGGAACTCAATAGTTTTTTTTTTTTTTTTTTTTTTTTTTGGCTCCAATGACTTGTAAATATCTACAAGAGCCCAGATTTTGAAGCCCTGAGGACACTTGCTAAAACTCAGAAATTTGGCACTAGTCATTGCACACAATTTGGGTTTTCTTTCAGAGTTGATATCTTACCAAATACAGCCATCTGTGTTCCCTCTGGGAAAGGTTCAACTGTTCTATTGCCATTGACATGATGTTTGGCTAGAAAAAAAAAAAAAAAAAGGGAGAGAAGGAAAAAAAGAAATACAAGTTAAGTGTAAAGTTCCACACACATACTAACACATGTCATTAAATGTGTCAAAGAGTCTATTTCTCATTTTTAGTTAGAAGTGGCACCAAAGCTTACCCTTTTTAAGAGAGTTCCAATTATTTTGTTTTTAGTCTCAATGACTGAAGAGCCTAGAAATGATCTAGTTTGAGCGTGTGGCTTTACAAAGAAGGGTGCCAGGGCCCGAGCTCATGCAGAGCCATACAGCTAGTGGCCACAGAGCCAGCCCAGCCCCAAAGCTCCCGACTCCTAGCCACAGGGCCCCACTGCATCAGGCCAGGTCCTAAAGAACAAGGAAGCTCCAGGTTCCAGGGAAAATTGGGGAGGCTTCGTCTGAAGACTCTTGATGATCACAATATTGACCCAGTCAAGGAAGTGAGCCGTGAAGACAGCAGGATAACATCAGGGCCAATTTTCAAAAAAATAGAATAGCAGAACACATCACTGCACTACAATTCAAGTACTATTTCCAGGAGCCACAGACACTTGGCTTCTTAAAGACAAGATGGATGTCCCAGTGCTTCTTACTACCTACCCTTCATCCACCCTGCTTCCCTCTACCAATCATCCTTCCCACCCTGTGCATATCAAGGACTTAGAAATAAAATGTGACCAGGTATTGGTTTTCCAGCATTAACTTGTTCTCAAAACCTCCCAAAATGCAGTCAGGTAGAGAAAATCTGAGTATGTCCAGCTATGAGTATTTTTAAAATATCCTCAGCAATTTTTGCATGTGGGCATTTATGTTGAAAATATATAAGAATGGCTCAGAAGCTTTGACACCGCATCACATAGCACATATATTTTGATTTCATGGGTCACATTAGATTTATGGAGCACTGGCAAGGGCTTAGCACCACAGCTAGGCTCTGAGGGGACTGGGGAGAGTAAGACACGGCCCTCTTGGAGAGTATAATTATCTTCAAGAGGTATAAATGTCAAACTTTACCAGAAAGCTTACAATTATGTGCTAAGTCTTGGAATGGAGACTAAAGGTACTGTAAAAGTTCATGGCAGAGGAACAGCAAGCTGGGAAGTGGGAGCCAGCAACCTGGAGGAATTATAACTAGTGCAGAATCTTAAAGGAGAGGCAGGGTTTGGAAAGGCAGAGGGTGAGGAAGCACCTTGAATGAAAGCCAGGAGTGTGGATGTAACCAAGGCATCATCCAGGGCCAGAATAAAGTCTAGCCTGGGCATCGCTGAGGTGATATGTTGGGAGGCAGTGGCAAAGAAGGACAGATTGGTAGGCAGGGACCAGGTCATGGAAGGTCTTGAGAACCCCATCTAAGCTCAAAGGAACCCAAGGCAGGCCCTGCAGCACACTGCAAGTCTTTTGGAATCTGGAGGCTCAGCCAAGTTTAGACAATCCCTTCAGCATACCATCAATTCAGGGGCTCTCACTGGTTCCTAAGTAATGGTGGCACTATCCTAGGAACAGAAAACCTGGAGGAAGGGAAGAGGCTAGCCCAAGTCCCAGGTAGCCATGGGACCTTGTCAAGCACTCATTAATATTAGCAGCCATTGGTTGCTAAATCCAAAGAAGTGTGATGAGGCTTGATGTCGAGGTCAGAGTTCTGTTCTATGGTCAGCTCCCCACAGTCCCTGCCAGCGGTTCTAAAAGTGTTTGCCTTTACACAAATCAAGAGTTTTAAACCCATTCAAACTCTTTAATCCACTCATCTCACTCATAAGAAACTCTCACTCTAAAGAAACATGGGGGGGGGGGGAAGGTGACACATGTAGCAATATTTATTACTTACAATAATGAAATCTTAAAATCAACTTAATATCTAAAAGTACTAAAATTGCTTAGAAAATTGTAATTTGTGATTTATCAAAAGCATGGAAAAAAACCATGGAATATTATGCAACATATTTTATTTTTTTAATGTTTGTTTATTTTTGAGAGAGACAGAGTGTGAACAGGAGGAGAGGCAGAGAGAGAGGGACACACAGAATCCAAAGCAGGCTCCAGGTTCTGAGCTGTCTATCAGCACAGAGCCTGGAGCCTGTTTCAGATTCTGTGTCTCCCTCTCTCTGACCCTCCCCCATTCATGCTCTGTCTCTCTCTGTCTCAAAAATAAATAAACGTTAAAAAAAAAAAATTAAAAAAAAAAAAATACAGCATTTGAGAGTTATATAGAAATATATATAGAAATGTGAAAAAAATACTTGGGATAATGGTAATTGAATACAATCCTATTACAACACTGGAGGTAGATTATAATGACAACTAATTAAAATATGAATGCTTATAGGAAAAGAGAAATGCTCCTCTGGCAGAGAAACATACAAAAATAAAAATGACCAGGGTGATTATGCACGATATTTACCTTTAGTATTTTCCTTTGTTACTGTTAGATTCTTATTTTCTAAATGAAAATACATTTGGAATTTTAAAAATCAATGAAATTATAGATTAAAAAAATTTTTTTTGCCACAGTAAGTACTTGGTTTCCCAGGACAAAGCTTATTTATAGCCAGTTGAAATGCTACACATTTACAATGAAAAGCGTACCCTATTTGACATCTCTTCTCAGACAGCTCAAAAGCACCTCCAACAAAAGATGACCTTCCACTCTAAACATGGTGCTCTTCCAGCATCCCCAACTCTGGGAATAAGACTGCCATTCTACTTTCTAGGCATCCTTGCCCATTCTCTAGCCCTCACTACCCACATCTAGTCTATCACCAAATCTAGTTAGTTTCACCTTCCAGACATCCAGAATCCTTCTACTTCTTCCCTTCACCATCCAAATTATTCCAATCCAAACTATCGTGGCCATTTTGCCCAGACTCCTATGAATGCCTCTAGTTCATCTATGTCCCCTCTCCAATTCACTCTTCCTAGTGCAGTCACAATTACCTTTCAAAAAAGAAAGAAAAATTCTGATTGCATGACACAAACTCCCCAACCTTCTCCCACCTTCCATGGCTTCCCAATGCTCTTATGTTAAAGTGAAAACTCTAACATGGCCTTCAAGGACCCATGTGGTATGACCACCTCAGTCCCTCATTCCTTCTACCACAGTCATGTTGCTTTCCTGGGACCAAAGGCCTTCTTCTACAACACTCACCAGAGCTGCACCTCACATTTAATCATTACCTGGACAAGCAGACTATAAGCACAGGGAGGACAGGGCTCATAGCTCCTTTGGTTCACCATTTCTATAATTCTAGTCCAACAGGGACACAGCATAGGTGTTCAATAAATAGCTGTTACAATAATGAAGGAAGAAAGAAACAGTATAAAAAGAGAGACTAAAAAGTATTTCTTCAGCCATTATGAAAGCTTTATTATTTGCTATACTAATGACGTAGTTCTCTTTATACGTACATGTCCTTTACACAAAAATGATCATTGAAAATGGCCATTCAAAAATAGTTAACCCAGCCAGGTGGCCCAGAGTCCAAGGAACTCCCCTCTGTTCTACTCTGTAAATGTCTGCCCCTCTTCCCTCCCCATTCATCTTCTCTCATCTGACAAGGCGACAGTGCCGGTAGAGGCAGGAAGACTAGAAATGCTACTTGAACTGGAAAGGAAGGAGGAAGTTCATATGCAACTCTCGCCTCAATGCTAAGGTTCCTTTGGGCCCTGTCTTTTATTCTAGCGCCTGAGGCCCAAAGATAACAGGGTCCATAAACCTGATTTTGAATTTTTTTTAATATTTATTTATTTTTGAGAGAGAGTACAAGCAAGGGAGGGACTGAGAGAGAGAACGAGAGAGAGAGACATACACAGAATTCGAAGCAGGCTCCAGGCTCCGAGCTATCAGCATGGAGCCCGACAGGGGGCTCAAACTCACCAACTGTGAGATCATGACCCAAGCCAAAGTTGGACGCTCAACCGAGCCACCCAGGTGTCCCTGATTTTATATTTTCTTCTGAACTGCAGCTGAGTCAGTTACTAGACAGCAAAGACACAGCATCAGCCAAGAAGAGATAGCACAGTATCAGCAGCTAAGGCCATGGGCTCTGAAGCAAGACTGCCTTGACTTTGAGCCTCAATGCTCCCACTTCCTAGCTGTTGGAATATGGCTTAGTTACTTAACCTCTTTGTGCCTCAGTTTCCTCATTTGTAAGAGTTTCCTCATTGTAAGTTTCCTCATTTGTACCTACCTTGTGGGCTGCTTTGAGAATTAAATTAGTTAATATATTTAAAGCACTTAGATCAGTGCCTGGCACTTGGTAAACACCTCTTAACTGTTACACTAGCATTATCATATGTGTGAACTTTATTTTTCACAAGATCCGAGTCAGGAATGACAAGTACATGACACGTGATGTACCTCGCCTCCATTTCCATGCTCATGGAAGACATCACCAATCAACCAAAGCATACTTTCTTGGTCCCCAAATGTGACCACAGAATCTTTTCTCAACCTAGCATCCCATAGAGTCTCTTATTATTTAGATATATGTGTATGTATGATGAAATTCTTTTGTCATTCCTGGTCTAAGTGAATAAAACACAAAAATGGACCAAAAAAGAAGCCATTTTCCTTCTCGTTTCTATATGAAAAAATGCAATAAAAAAAAAAAAAGATCCTTTGAAAATCTCCAAAATTCTATATACAGCTTTAGGGATAAAAGAACAGGGGGAAATCTGACTGCTACTTTCCATTCCATAATGCGAGAATGGTGAGTTCTTAAAAACCAAGCAATGGCAGTTCTACTCCTGGAAACCGAGGCTTAGCTCCCAAGGGCACTTTCCTATTGAAGCTCTGCTGAGGCAAGTATTTGGGGGACAAAGAACCAGAGATCCTTTAAACACATTAGATAGGTCAAATAAGATTGGGGGGGAGACGGGCTAACTTGGGGACCTAATGAGCATTTATTTATTTTTTTTTCCAAAATTGGTGGCACATGTCACCACGGAAACAATCACACTGACTAAAAAGAAAAGTCATTCATTGATTGCGTACTAACTATT